TGATTCTAATACCGGATTTCGGCTCAAACAGTCTGCTTCTACATTTTCTTTACCAGGTATATATTTTACTGTAAAGTCATACTGAGATAGGTAATATGTTAGATCAGCCAATTCTTCATCTGTCCTGCATTTAATGTTCATGTTCTCTAGAGGTTTGTGGTCTGAGTAAATAGTGAATTGTTTTCCAATGAGCCAGTGCTGCCAATATTTAACGGCTTCTTTCATAGCAAGACATTCTAAATATATAGCCTTTTTCCGTTTTTGATGTTCGTTCAGTTTTTTTGAGAAATATGCCACCGGTTTGTCTTTACCATCTAGTTGTGTCTGTTTTAATATTGCTCCAATGCCCTCCAAAGATGCATCGGTAAAGATTTTGATTGGTAAGTCTTTGTCGAATATTTCCAAGACCGGTTGAGAACATAAATATCTTTTTATCTGATTAAATGATTCTTCACACTTCTCTGACCATACAAACTTCTCGTTTTTTCTTAATAAATTATGTAATGGATCTAGGATAATTGCACTTCTTGGTATGTATTCATGGTAGAAGTTTATTTTTCCCAAAAATTGTCTGATGTTTTTTTGCGTCTTAGGAGTTGGAAAATTCTTTATTGAAATCAAATTGTCTTTTAATGGTCTTACTGAGTTGTTCTGAATTATATGGCCGAGGTATTTTACCGAGTCTGAAGCAAAGGTACACTTCTTAAACTTCAATCTAAAGCCTTCTTTAATTATTGCCTCTAATACATTTCTTATGTGCTTTATATGTTCTTCAAAGGTAGACGAGTATATCAAAATATCGTCAATATAGTTAAGAGTATCCTGTGAGATTGTGTTTTCAAATATTGCTAAAAATTCTCTGGAAAATTGCTGGTGATGTTTTCAAGCCATAAGGGAGGCAGGTCCACTGGAAGTGGCCATCTTGTGTGACAAATCCTGTTTTACTTCTGTCTTCCACCCGTAAAGGTATTGCCCAAAATGCTGAGTTTATATCCAGTGTAGTAAAATACTTGCAATTTCTTGTTTTAATAATTAGATCATCTATCAAAGGAAAAGGTTGAGCTTGTGGTACAACAATTTTGTTCAATTCTCTGAAATCTACACATAAACGGGATTTTCTATTTTCACCTTTTTTAAAAGCCAATGTCACTGGAGCAGCGAAAGGACTGTAAGATTCTTCTATTAAATTATTCTTTAGTAACATGGATATTTGCTCTTCAATTTCTAATTTATCTTCTATTGTACGGTCTTTCGGTATGGTCTTTTACTAGAATATTTATTTACTATTAAATCTATGTGAGCTTCATAATCTCTAACTGATCCTATATCATACTTGTCCTTAGCAAAAATTGTTGTATATTCCTTTATAATTTTCTCTATCTCAATTTTCTTTTTATTATCTAAATGATCTGTCATGCTTATAAATTCCTTTGTTTCTATGTGTTCATTGAAATTTACTGTATATGTTTCTATATTCTTATCTTCATTTCTGTTATCTTTAGACATTCTGTCTATTTTATTTGTTATTTTCTTTTGTTCTATCTGCAAGTTCTCATTTTGGGTTAATCTGAATTTCTTTATCATATCCAATCCGATTATGAAATCTTCAAAATCTTCATTTTCTACTATGTATACATCCACCTCTTCTTCCAAATCAAATATTTTTATTTTTATTGTTATCAAGCCATCCATCTTCTTCACACCATTAACCGTTTTCATGTATGCTATATTCACATCATCTTTTTTTTCTTTTACTTTTATCAATCTTGAATTTATTAAAGAGATCTGTGAGCCTGAATCATAAATGCCGCTCACTTCTAGTTTATTTTCTAATAATAGCTTGATTTTGATTAATGGTGTACTTACTAGTTTTTTTTACAAGCATTTATGTCTACTTCAATGATGGAGTTATTATTTACATTTTTAGTTTTAAGAACCTTTTCAGGTTCATTTTTATTTTTCTTGAACCAACATGACTCCTCCGGATGATATCTAATTCCTTTGTCCAAAGATTCACAAGTCTTACATGGCTTCTTCTCATTAGTTTTATTTTTATTATAAAATATACCACTCTTTATGTTAGTTGAGTTTTTCTTGTACACCATACCTTCATATTTTCTTATCTCGTTGTACAAATCAGTAGTGTTGTTGAGTTCGTCCCTGTTTAACTTATTTAAGATAAATCCAGGTAAACCAGTTGCAATAAGATCTATCATTGTTTTGGAATCTATAGATTTGTTTATATTTAATATAAGCCATTCTTTTTTTATGGCATAATCAATTAACAGTCCTTCTTTATACCTAAATGCGAGAGCATATGTGACTATGTCCCATCCTCGGTTTTTAAAAGTTTCTAAAAATTTGTCTTTCCATTCACTCCATTCAGAATTTACTGTTAGTTTTATGATCATCGAGCTATACCAATCCAAACAAGGTTTATCTAAAAATAACCTCAATATATCAATTTTTGTTTCATCTTTTGTTATATTGAAGCGCGCACACTCTTTTTTCAAAAATCTCTATCCATTGCATCGCATTAGGATTCTTGCTTGTGAATTTTTCAATAATAAATTTTTCTGAAATATGTTTTAAGTTATGTTGACTTTCTTCTAGTTGTAGTTTCTATTAATTGTTCCAAGATATGTTGCAAACTGTCATCTTTGTCTCTTGTTTGTTTTGTGCTCATTTCTTCTAAATATTGATCTAAAAATTGCATATTACCTTCCTCATCTACATATGTCTTCTTTAGATTTTCATCCAATTTTATCCATACTTTTCTACTTTGGTGTCTTTTCTTTATGCTATTTTTTACTTTTGTGAAAGTGTTCATTTTAACAATATATGTATGATGACTCACCGGCTTCAGCTCCTCGGGTAAAACATAACATTTTCCTTCTTCTGTAGATATTGAGGTTATGGCTAGTACATTAGATTTGCCATCATTTGAGGCTATCATCGTAAACTCGAATTGCAGCCGGTCCATCTTCTCTTAGTTAACAAAAATGTCGTTTTATAAGGTATATTATTGAGGATCTTCAAAATAAACCACAAATTGTTTCTCTGAAAATACAAAGCTTTGTTTTATTTAACACGTCTTTCCAATATTACAACAATTATCAAGTTATGACAATTACACTTCTATCTCACCTGAAAATACAAAGAAACGACTTTTAAAGTTTACTAATATTGCTTCCTCAATCGTATCCTTCGGTTTATCTCTCTACAAGTTTTTATAACAATATAATGCACAAAATAATCTAAACGTCATCCGCCATTGAATCATAGTTTACACATCACTTCGATGCGCCCTCTACCATCTTCCACAGACAACATAGATACGCGAAGCGCAGCAAATTCAAATTAATGAAATATCATTCATTTCATTACATATAGAATAACTCCGAATTATCACACGGAGCGTTGGCTGTTCCCCGGGCAGAACACCTTGCCCGGCGGGAGATTTCTCCTTTTCCTTCTACGGCCACACGTTTAACTAATATTTTATATTTATACATTCAAGTTTAAACTACCTACTACCCTCTGGTTTTCTTGCTGGTTCTACCCAGGGCAGAGGCTTTTTTTCCGAAAAAAAAAAAATGATTGTCAATAAGTATTATTTATAATCTATATATTGAATAAAAAGATTCTCATACATGACTCTTAATGTCACTGTCAATGTCACGGCTTCGGACGTAATTTTAATAAATTTAATGACATCACGATATTCATTATGATATTGACACTTTGAATTATACGTGAATTATACCTATGTATTATATCAATTACATTGAATACATTTATTTTTATTCTAGAATCTGCTATCACCTGTATTTAGCATCTTGGAAAAGCCTGCATTTATGACTCTTGGTAGAGAATAACAGTGTTCTGTGATTTATGGCAAATAAAGGAATTTGAATTTGACTATAGAGAGCTTTTGAAGAAGATTATATAAACTATAAACTCAATTAGTAGTCTCAAAACTTAAATAAATAAATAAAACAAATATTTTATAATAAAATTTATTCATCCTCACACATGCATTAACTCATAAATTTGTACGAAAATTGTACGTTCAAGAAATATTCACTCGAATCGACAACTAATAAATAAACATTGGGAACATCACTAAATCTTGCAACAACTATACGTGTGAATGCGACGTGCAGGGACAGAGTGAAATAGAGAACGAAAGATTGACACAAGCGCTTCTCACGCACGCACACAAGCACCGGATTCACCTACAGTAGCACACAGGGAAAATAAGGCGTGGGCTTTGGGTTTACTTTTGTCTGCTACTGTAACCCCGTTTGTGTGAATGCCAATATAACGCATTGTTTTGTTAATTATACAAAAAAAAAAACGCGATATTTGATACTGCCGATGCGAGTATTGCATTTTCCTCTTTGTGTTCCTGTAAGTGAACACCATGCTTGTGTGCGTGCGTTGCAATATACGTGTATAAACTTTCCAAACTCTCGTTCACACAGTCGAGGTCGTTATGCTTTCGTATCTAAATATAATTGTCACAAAATCTATCATCTGTCCTCATTCACACTCAAATACTGTAACAATCTTATAATCTAGGATTAATTGTATAAATAAGGTTATAATTGTAAATTCATTACAAAATATAAAACATTTGAAACATATTCAGTGGCCTTGAAAGGTCTATCGTCATAATAAATCTTTCAAGACGAGGAATTGTTTCAAAACATGGCTATCATACCTTGCGATATTGTATAAATTGTTTACTGTTAAGAAGTTGTATGTATTCATAGACATTATTTTATTTAGGCCTATAAATGGCTCCAGTGAGCTTTTCATAAACGTGTATAAATATCTCACCGCTATACTAAATTGCTGTGAGACTGCGTTTAAAAACAGTTAATTAGTTTAAATTGAAAATATAGTTTTGTACTATTTGAGCACCTTACTTCTTAATTTTGTTGAACAATAGCTCACTGGTGTATCAGACTAGAATCTACCCTATGCCCTAAAGCTTATGAGCGTTTTCTCGCTACCTTATCGCCGAATCCTGGCGTCTTATTCTTGTATTGTTCATCGTCTTCGCTGATGCTAGTGGAAACTGAGATTTCAGTTACTGGCTCAGAAGTTTTTTCGATAGAAGCGGTGGCACTCTCGCCAAAGTATATAGCAACATCGTTGTCGTCGACTTCCTGAATTGGTTGCACATTCTCGACATTCGGTGCCGGGACGACTATGGTGTGAGTGACGGAGTTATCGGCTTTTAAATCGCAATCACTGCGTTTAATATCGTCTTTCTGTTTGTGAACTGCTTCTCTTTGAAGATAGTGCTGAATATTTTTAGTACCATGCGTTTCTTGGTCTACTTCTCTTTGTGTATTTTGCGTGTTCTCTTTGCTTCGGTCTACGGGTTCGTATCCTGCTGGAAGGACAAGTCCACCAACATCTACATTTCCATAATTTAAATTGCTGGACTGTTGTGAGTTTTGTTGGGAACCTTTTAAATGGTTCTGAGGTTGTGTTGGTTCTTCTATAGCTTGTAATATACTTTGTAAAAGACCTTCAGAGAGCAATTGTTCATGAGGTATTGATGGAGAGCTTGCCTCACCTTTAACATCGTCGGCAGATTGTATTTGTAGAGAGTAAGTTCCAAAATTACCTTTTATAGGAATTTCCGATCCGAATTGAGTAATTTGATCATTTACCTGATTTAAGTTTTGACCATTCGCCACTATTTTTTGCTGCAATTGCTTAGTCTCCTCGCTTAGATTCCTAATGTTCTCTGACGTATGATAGATTTGTTCTGAAATGAAATTTACGTTGTTATCTTCTTTATAGTTATGCTTTCTGGAATCGTCTTTCAGGGATTTACCTTTTTGGGCACTTGTTTTTTCTGTTTTCTCATTTTGTATGGTGTTACTTGGTAAAATGGTTTGTACAAGGGTGTGCGACGCAGTAGAAAGGTCTTTTGAGCTGTATGAAACCGATTCACTTCCTGGTGCTGGCGTGTTGAAACTATTTTGAGGAGAAATTAACGTTTGATAATTTTTCGAAAATGCGGTACCCAAGGAACTTAAACTAGCGACATATTTTGTTGCTAAGTCTGCCGGTATTTTTTCTCCTGATTTTGCAGCTTTTAATATAGCTTCATGGTATGGACAATGTTTTAAAATAGCGGCAGCTTCTAGGTTAGAAAGATTTGCCAGAATAGTTCCATCTATTGTTGCTGTTACTGCATTTTTGCTTGATCCTGACGCTGTGTGATCTCCGACAGTCAATAATGGCACCGAATACGAATCTATCGGAGATCCGTATAAATTACTAGGCATTTGCTGGCTCTGGAAATTTATAGGGTTACCCGAATGTGGTAGATTATACAGGCTAGATGGCTCAATTGTTAGAGATAGTCCGTTGAATCCGTGGTTTCCAGTTTGTATATTTATATCTTTGATTTCTCTGATTGGAGGGGGCACATACGCCGGGCCTTGTTTCAGGTGGTCAATGCCATGAGAATCCTTGTGGTATACTGTGTGACCGATTTGTTGGATCAAGCCTTCTGGTACCGATTCCCTAAATTTTATTGGGTGTTTTGGTGAGTTTCCCCCAGTGTGTATAGAATGGCCACCACCGGAGAAAGTTCCGTATGGTATAGGCAGGTTTGCTGGTGGTGTTCTCAAAGGTGTCCCGTATTGACTTCCAGGTGGCACACCATAAATGCCTGATGGAGGTGTCAATCCTTTGGCTCCTTGCTGTCTTATCGATGGTGGATAAGGTCCATTAGATAGCGAATCTATTGGTGGTGCGCCGTAAGAATCTATAGAGCTATCATGACCTGATGGTATAGCTGCTTGGACTATAGCCAAATCTGCATGAGGGTTATCGTTCTCTGTGTAATGAGCTTCGAAGATGGTCTTTGATTGGTCGATATGATTCGAATCGCCACCGACGATAGCATTAAGGTCGATGTTGGCTAAAGCATCTTGATGTACGTTTGAATAGCCGGTGGTGATTTGAGCGCCAGAAAATTGGTGTCCCTGCCCTCCTTCATTAGATAGTAAGTTTCCGTCGAGATTTATATGAACCTCTTGAACTGTTGGAGGTGGTGGTGGTGGAGGCCCGTATTGATCCTCAATTACTTGGACGTGATGGCCATTGTCGTGGATATGTTGTTCACCGTCTTCAATAAAAGGTTTCGATACTCCAGGTATAGGTTTCCAACCATCGTACAATACATGGGGTGGTGTGGGAGGCGCCGGGATTCCTGGATGCGGCGGTTTAGGGTTTGGGTCTGGTTGTGGTGGTCCATAGTGACCCACGTTATCAATATCGTCTACGACGACTTGATCATTTGGTCCAATCGGTCCCAAAATATGTCCCGGTGGCCCATATGTATCGGTTGGGATTGGGAAGTTCGGTTTCAAATCTAAAGGCAGACTAGGCAAGGGTGTTCCGTATATTGGAGCAGGTAAGTTCAAACCCAAGTCAACACTGGCTGTGTTGCCAACATTCTGCTGGAACGATACTTGCGGTAAAGACACGTGTGATTGCTCAGAAAATTGAAGATTTTGTACATTATATAATGGCGTGCCATAAGTCACTTTCGGTGGTCCATAAATGGGCTTGGGTACTCCATAGACAGGTTTCGGTACTCCGTATACAGGTTTCGGGAATGTTATTTTTGGAGGTTTGAAAGGTACACCGTAATTTACTTTTGGTAGAGTAAACTTTAGAGGTCCATAGGTTTTTTTCGGAGGCCCGTAGATCGTTTTAGGTGGCCCGTAAACCGGTTTTGGCGGTCCGTATACCGGTTTCGGTGGTCCATATACGGGTTTTGGCGGTCCATATACATGTTTAGGCGGGCCGTAAATAGGCTTGGGCTTCGAAATTGGAGGCGGAGGGCCTTCGTAGTTCTGATTCGGGAACACCACTGGCGATGGCGGACCGTATGCTCCTGGAGGTGTATCCGAGAATAGATTGTTTTTCACCTCTGGTACCCCATAAATGGGCGCTGGCAGCTGGAGATCTGGAACTGAGATAAGTTTTAATGCATTTTAATATGTTTTTTTTTTTAAATTGAAACGGACGGAACAACTATAGCCCAAGGACATCTGTAGCCAACTCCACGCATATAAGTCTACAGATGCGTTATAACCTCTAGGACTAAGATGGAATGTCTCATAACCTTTAATGTATATATGAATACACATAATATATAAAAAAGTAAAAGTAAAGTTACAGCCTATATACGTCCCACTCCTGGGCACAGACCTCCGCTCATTTCTGAGAGGGTTTTAGGGCAAGGAATTGTCCGCCGCGCTGCCCAATGTGCGCGTTGGCGTACTTCACATGTCTTCGATATATTTTTTTCTTATTTCTCAGATATGCAGGTTTCCTCACGATTTTTTCCTTCACCGCTGAGCACATGGTAAATCAGCACTTAAAATTGCAATTAACAATTTCATTGGTGCCGGCGGGGATTAACAATTTCATTGGTGCCGGCGGGGATCGAACCCGATTTGCTTGTGTACTGTGAAATTTACAGATATATATATATATATATATATCAGCCGCCGCAGAGTCTACATCACCTGAGGATGCCTCGTGTGGAGGCGAATCACGTGTCGTATTATCGACGATGGTGTGTCTTTTCTGGATTAGTGGTTTAGTGGTGACGGGATTAGTGCACGCCACGCAATTGAGGGAGAGCGGGAGGTGCTCTTCAAACATATTAAATGATTTAGTGACCCTCATTGTTTTTTTATTGCGAATTAATGGATTTTTAAAAAGGGTCGTCTGAAAGAGCTGAACAACGTCAGCCTAGCCAGCTAGTGTAAGTGTACTCAAATTAAAGTTAATTATTAATGAGAACTAAAGTTCTCAAAATGTTAACTATATATTTTTGAAGTTAAGTTACCTATTTAACTTCACTTCAAAACACTCAAATTCAACGTCCAAAGTTATCTGAATTAGTTAGGGGCCGTCCATTAATGACATTAGCATTTTTAACACTTCCCTCCCCTCCCTCTTGGTGATATGTGGTGAGGTTGAAGACTACCACCCCACCACCCAAAATCACGTGAATTTTTAGTAAATATAATCTAGTTTTATTCTGAAATTATGGAGCATGATAAAATGTCTAGACAGATAGATTGCAGGTTGTTTTTGACTGGCATAAAAATAATATTAAAGCATGTAATAATGCGAAAAACATAATATTGTACTAGTACATGAACATTTTTAATGTACTTTGTCCTCAAACCACGGATTAGCAAGACTTTCTTCAACACTAACAACTGGATAAGCATCTTGCAAGTCAGTTGTTGGCACTGTGCTTTGTTGAAGATCAGCGTCGGTTTCATCAAGCCACTCGGCGTCATCATTTTCGCGCACTACACAGAGAATCTCTTGCGATCTACTGATCGATCGTCGCGTGAGGATGCATGAAGGACGAACATTGTGCATCTCTAGACTATTATTGCTCGGGCTAGATTCATGCTTGTGACATGAATTTACATGTACAGGTGAGTCAAGGTCACATTACACGTCGTTTAGAAATCGCGCGTCTGACGAAAAAATAAACACACGTGATAATCTTACTGCACCCCACCTTGTGATATTTTGTGATTTTTGTCAAACCCTTCAAACCCCCCCCCCCTATCGAGCCTCACATGATTAATCTTTACTTTTAAGCTGAGGTAGCTCAAATGGTTAACGCTCGGTGTACGTTTCACAGTACGCGGGCAACCCGGGTTCGATCCCCGCTGGCCCCAATGAAATTGTTAATTGCAATTTTAAGTGCTGGTTTACCACGTGATTGGAAAACATCGTGAGGAAAGTTTTATATCAGAGAGGTGGGAAGAAAAAATATTTCGAAGAAATGTGTTCACCACGTGAACTTTGAATTTAGCCAACGTAGCGGACACTTCCTTGCCCTAAAACCCTCTCAGAATAGAGCGGAGGCCTGTGCCCAGCTGTGGGACGTATATAGGCTGTAACTTTAAGTTTTCAAGTTTTATATGTTTGAATACCGATTCTGAACCACAGGGTTTTCGTTACAAGCTGTATAGTATAGTCAAGGTAATAGAATGAAGAAAAAATAACCCACCAACGTTAGGTAAGTCCAGCGGAAGTCCGTACACGTCTGTTGGAAGCGGCTCCCCGTAAGAATTGGATAAGCCAGCGTCGCGTTTCTGCGCCTGCGCACCTGGAAACAAGGATACAGATCTCTTAGGATTTATGCTCCATCCATAACAGCCCATAAAAGTCTACTGCTGCACATTATTTATAGAATAAGTGTGATAAACGAGCACCCAGTCCACCTGATGGTAAGTGGATGCTGTGGCCCATATACACATTTACATTTATACTCGATTAAGAAGCAAACGCAGATGCGTTGTCATCCCTGAGGACTAAAATGGATCTCGTTTCCAGTAGAAAAGGGTCTCTGGGTCTCTACACTCACTACAACTATAATGTACCTGCAGCGGGGCTCTACCACCTATAATCATAGGCCACTCCCACAGATTGCCTGATAGGGAGGATTTCGCAACAGTTGCCATACTTCCTCTGTCGCCTCTGAAGGCACCCGCGGGGCGATAGGATATTCTGACTCCGCCACTACACGGTCAAGGATTTATATTATCTTCAGCTTTCTGACCGCAGAATTTTATGTGATCAGGAGGATGCCGCTTCCCATCCTTTATTTTAGTTAACCTCTCAATTTCGCTCATCTCTGCATCACTGTCTGAGTAGTCATCTGTCATCAGAAACAGAAACAGAAACTTTTTTATTCAATGTTTTTAACGTGGTAGAGCCATGCTGCAATTATATTAGTAGTATAGTTGTAGCACGAATGGGTCGGCTCGACCGGGGAAGGACCACGCTCTCACAGAATACCAGCGTGAAATAGTAGCTTAATGTTGCTGTATTTCGTATGGTGAGTGTAGAGAACCGGAGACCCTTTTTACTGGAAATGAGGCATTCCATCTCAGTCCTCACGGGTGACAACGCATCTTCATTTTGATTTGTAATGGAAGATAGATGTAGATGTCTATGGGCCGCAGCAACCACTTACCATCAGGTGGACTGTGTGCTCGTTTGTCACTCTATCCTATAAAAAAAAATGTAGTTTATAACAATACTTATTGAAAGTCACTTTTTTCATTTACCACTGGTTCGCAAAAAAAAAACCTCTGTCCTGGGAAGAACCAGCAAGAAACCCAGCGGGACTATTTTTTTTCCAATAATAGCTTACAATAATGTTTACAATAAACAACACAAGACAAATTAGAAATAGCTTGGTAGTGATCACCCTTCCCAGGGGTTATTATCATCCATAATCTCATCATTGTTGCTTCTTTCCCTTATCAAAATATAGAACATGTGTTTATGTAGAAATGTCGTCTCTTACTATCACCTAGTCTGTGTAATGTTAGTGGTTGTATGGCCCTAGATAATAAATAATAAATTAATTAACTTGATAGAGAGAGAGAGAGCTAATATCTCAGAGGGAGACAGAGAGAGAGATAGATATTGGCCCTAGATAATTAATAATTAATTAAATTAGCTAATTAGTTCATAACTATAGTACGTAAAGGTAATATGGCCATCCGGTTAATATGGTCACTTTCTTATTGGATGGGCCAAATTTGAAGTCCTTAACCGACGAACATGTATGCGTATATGAATGTGTACGAGACGAGAGAGATGTGTCAGGATCGTGCCAAATGAAAGTCTGTAGTTTCTGCCTACCCCTTTGCGTGATAGGCGTGAGTGTTTATGTATGTATGTATGTTTCTTATTAAACAAAAACCACAACATTGTTTGCGTAGATGACTCTGTGATACGATAGCTCTTCATTAGTCAATCAAATAATAAAATGTCAAAAGGTCGCTGCTTTATCGACGTCATTTTAACAGTTCACATTATAGTAAATAGTTTAGTCGATTTTAGTCGTAGACAGAGAAACCTATAGACTAATGATTACGCCTCGAATGAGAAAGGACGATAACGTAGTTTTAGGTTATACAATAATCTTTATGACTTTTAAACATATTTAGATAAAAATTTTAATTTTTCTAAGAACTCAAATGAACAAGATTCACCAATCTTAAGCTCACAAAACACTTTTTTCTCACTTAAACCAACTTGTAAACTCCTTAGATCGCTACTAACTTCACAGTTGTTTGGCAAAGTGCAATTTGCTAAACAAAAAAACCGGCACGGAGAAAGGGACAACGATCACACTGCTCTGTCTCATTTCTATGCAAGACGTATGCATAAATCTATCTTTTTCGTGTGCAAATGCGAAAGAAGGCGTCAATTTATCTATAGCTTTCTCTGTCTACGATTTTAGTATTGTGTCGTGTCGTTAGTTTTTTTTTAGGTTGATCTTTCGAAGTGTTCCTAATTATTGCCGGAGCTTGTTTGCTATTTTTTAAATACTTAATTATAGTAATATTAGTTATTTTTATATACGAATTTGTGGTTTTGTCTCTGCCCTCCTCCTGGTTTTAGTTTTGTTTCTGTTTTTATTTCGCCATAGATTGCCTCATAAGGGAGTTATTTTCGTAGACGCTGCTGGCATTCTCCTGGCTTGTGTCCTCTGTCACCTCTTACCACATCCACGGAGCGATATAGGGTAGTGGATATTCTTACTTTGCCACCAAACGGCAATATTATAATTATAATTAAAAAATATTATAATTATACAATTTATATTCAGAAAAATCCTCTCTGTTGTGTCAACCTTAGACATAGAGAGAATGGACTGTGCGTTGCGTTCCGCATTCAGTAATTCAGTTGTGCAGTGATACGGTCAAAACGTGCGAGAGAGACAAAGCGAATATGTGGCCAGTAGTTGTCTCTTTCTAAAACTCTGATTCCACGTCATTAGCGGTCAGGAGTGTAGAGGCGAGTGTGGCTTGCAGGAAAGAGACAGGTATTGGCCGTCTCATTCTAGAGAATGGTCACTTTTGTAAGGCTAACGCTCAGCTCAGTCAATTCTCTCTATGTCTATGGTGTCAACAGTAACCTTTTCACGAGCTGATGATACTGGCAACATTTTTAATAATTATGAACTACCTGACTGTGAAGCTTCAGCGACCAGGTCCTGCTCACTGTCCTTGGAGACCAGCCCGGGCGGTGAGTCCTCCGCCAGCACTGCAACGCTCAGCCATAGCAAAAGGAACTGAAAAAAAAGCAGTACAGCTTATAACCAGTTATTACATTCGAAATGGATTAGAATTTTGGCGGGAACTAGACCGCTGGTAAATTGCTGCTCCGGTTTTATCTCTGAAAAATGGCTTGAAGTGGATTTTGATACGTAAGAGTGATGCGACTTTGTGTATTAAATGTCTGCCCATGTGAACTATTAGTGCTAACGCTGAAACAACATCTCAGATGGTGATGAAACTCAAGTTATTGTGTCTGCTTTGGCGCCTTGAGAATCCATCGACATGGAATATCTGCTGGCTCAGGCAATCGTCAAAATCTCCAAAAAACTTCGCTTTGCGACGGATAATAATTTTGAAAATAATATTATTTAATTTTTTTATAGAAGAGGGGGCAAACGAACATAGGGTTCACCTGATGTTAAGTGACTACCGCCGCCCATGAACATCCGCAACACCAGGGGAATTGCAGGTGCGTTGCCGGCTCTTTAGAAAGGAGTAAGCTCTTTTCTTAAAGGTTCCCAGGTCGTATCGGTCCGGAAAAATTGTATAAGAAATTAAAAAAAAAACTTAAACAACACGCATTGATCATGAGCTAATTATTATAGTCTATCCTGGTGATCCAGATCAGGATACTAGAATAAGGTAATAAAATTATTGTACTGTCATCGGTAATCTTGATACGAGTGCTTTTCAAATCAATCGGCCGGTAACAAGTTAGTGAAAATTACATTAAACGATTCCGTCACGTAGATTGATAAATATAAACACGCAAAGCTTATAAAAGCGTGTTAAAATACATTATAGTTTGATTTCTTATAACTTAATACTGGCGAAAGTACAACAGAATGAGCCAAAGAAAAAAAATCGGAATAATCATATTTTTAAAAAGTGGAGTGTAGAGCTGGTATATACACAGTAATATATGGTGTAGAGGTAAGGAGAACCACAGAACACTAATACCCTTAGGCGGGAGGAGAACTGTCTCACGTGGAGAATGGTTGAAAAAGTGTTCATCTGTAAACAGTAAATAACAGTTCAAAAACTCTCCACAACAGCGTTAGAGTAGCTAGAGGGTAAGCAGTTGTCGACGAAGTGAAGTTTTCCGAGTTGAAGAATTCAATATTTGTGGTGACTAGAGTAGTCCAGAAACTGCAGTATTTAAAACCTCAACCACTCACGTTGTCTAAAATAATTTAGTAAACACAACCTAGAAGAAGTCGCCGTGAGACACGTTGACAGTGATTTTGAAAATAAAATTTTTAACAACAATAAAATAATTAGTGATAATTATAAAAAATAATTATGGTGAAAGTTTGTGCAATAAAAAGTTCTTTAGAATTTTCCCTCTAGCAACAGTGGCGCCCCCCTTATTTAACACTTTATACAGACACTTTTTAATACACAGAGACAGTTCTCCTTACCTCTATACTCTATGTTTAAAAATAATTCAATTCAAATTCAAATTCATTCAAATCATTTATTGCGATATAGGTTGATACAGATGGTATTGTCATAGTTTATCACTTAGAGAACAAACACTTAGTACAGCTATATTCCGCCATTTGGCATGCGAATATTCATTACATTTTATTAGTTTTATATTAAATTATTTAAACATGCTTTATTTATAATTGGAGTTCAAAATAAAAATTAATAGCGATATGTCAATTTAGATAATATTATATAAGTCAAGTCAATTTAATTATACTGTCATGTATTAGTCAAATATTGAATTTCATATTTATCTTCGAGATATTCTTTCATACTGTAGTATGCCCTATTAACGAGAAATTGCTTCAATAGTATTTTAAAAATATCAATGTTGAAACATCTCAAAATGTGTAATGGTAAATGGTTATAAATTCGAGGGGCCATACAAAATATGCTGTTGTTAAATTGGGCTGTTTTGTTTGATGGGAAACATATTTTATGATTATTACGTTTACTGTGTAGGCACTCAAATAAAGAAATATGCGTAATAACAAAGACGGCTACCTCATATATATAAAGACATGGAAGTGTTAACAATTTCAGACTAATAAAAAATGGTTTACAACTATCCGTCTGTTTTAACTTCACAATAGCCCTTACACATCTCTTTTGGGCTCTAAATATCATATCATTGTCTACAGAGTTACCCCAAAAAATGACACCATACCTTAACACTGATTCTACATAACCGTGGTACGCAGTGATGACCGTAGATTGATTCACAATTGTTCCAAGTCTATGCAGTGCATATGAAAACTGGTTTAGTTTAGTACAAATATCTTCTGCTTGAGATTTCCATTTTAAGTTTGAATCGAGATTGAGGCCTAAAAATTTTGCGACTACATTAATTTTTTTGAAACTTTTCGACTACATTAATTTTTTGTCCGTTGTAGTATCTTCTATCTAATATATTAAGATTAATTAAATTATTTTTTATATTTCTGAATGTCATTAAATTTGTTTTATTTAGATTAATTAATAAATTATTATTTGACAACCATTGAATTATAATGTCTAGTGTTTGATTTATGTCAGATATCATTTTATTTTTGGTTGTGCTTGTAAACATCACTGTATTATCGTCTGCATATAGTACCATATCCTGATTTATATAATTTGGTAAATCGTTTATATAAACAAGGAATAATAATGGACCAAGAATACTTCCCTAGGGTACTCCCTGAGTCACTTCACGATATGACGGTGAATGTACTATTTGTCTATACGTTTTTGAGCATATGCGCGTAATTTGTTTACATTGTTTCCGATTTATTAAGTAAGTTTTTAGGAGATTAAGGATATTTCCTCGGATCCCGTACGCTTCTAATTTACTTAAGAGGATATTGTGATTAACATAGTCAAAAGCTTTAGTTAAATCCATGTATAGAGCAGATACTAAGTGATTATTATTAAGGCTTGACATTACAGTACCTAGAAATTGAAAGACAGCTAAATTTATACTTTTATTTTTCCGAAATCCGACCTGTTTCTCTGTGAAGATTTTATATTTTTCGAAGAAATCATTAAGGTTTTGAGTTATTACCTTTTCAAAAATTTTAGAGAATATCGGTATGAGTGCTATGGGTCTATAATTTGCAACATCACTCTTATCATTTTTCTTAAATACAGGTTGAACTACCGTTTTTTTTAATTTATTTGGGAATATTCCAGAGGCTATACTTAAATTTACGATGTAGGATAAAACTGGTGAGATGATGGTTGATACACTTTTTAATACCTTTGTGCTAACGTCATCATAACCTGTGCTATTTGTATTCTTTAATGAATTAATTATATTATTAATTTCGAAAGGAGTCGTTGGGTTCATAAAAAATGAGTTATAATTATTCGGTAATTTGCAGTTAACATTAATAGTTCTTAGATTACTGTCATTTCCACTTATGAAATAATTGTTAAATAACTCTGCAATATCTTTGGGGTCATCAATGATAATCCCATTATTATTAATATGCCTGATTTCCTCTTTAATCACATTATTGTTACTATAATTGATGATTGACCAAGTAGCTTTAGATTTGTTTGAAGCTGTTTTGATTTTATAGTCATTCTGTGCCCTTTGTGTGAACTTTATTATTTTGTTTAAACGTTTTGTGTAACATTTGAACAAATTTCTATTGTGATTAGTCGGATGTTTTCTATATTGCCAAAGTAATTTTCTTTTTTGTTTTGCACATATTTTTATACCTTTCGATATCCAGGAAGGTTTTTTCTGAAGTGTTCTTTTTATTAATATAAGTGGAAAACATAAATTATAAAATAATATGAATAATTCATGAAAATAATCGAATGCATAATTTGGATCAGTTGTATTGTAAATTTCGTTAAAAGTAAGTGATTTTAAGCATTCATTGAATTTTTTCATGTTTTCATTACTGTAATCTCTACATTTTATTAACCAATGTGGGAGAGAACAAGTTTCTTTGATTTTACAAGTTAACATTTGGCTTGAGTGATCAGACAGAGCGAATTCAAAAATATTATATTTACTTCCTCTAATATTGTGTATAAAGTTATCTAAACAAGATCCACTTACATTACGCGTTGGCTTATTAATGGCTAATTTAAGATTATAGCCAATAATTGTTTGATTTAGAATGTTATAAGCTCCTTATCTATCTATTTATGTCCTATCTTAGGACGTCCGCCATATTGAATTTGTGTGACCTCACGTATTCTACTTCACAAGCCCTTTTTTATAGAAAATATTTTCTCTTTCACCTCGGAGTGGCGGCCATTTTCAAAAAATTAAAAGACCGAGTCAAGCTAGATTGTACTTTAACAACAATAAAACGCGTGTCAGTTTTTAGCTCAATCGGTTAGGTGCAACATTTTTTTTCAACTGAGGTACGTGAGGATAATATGGTCACCTTAAGCTTTGCCGCTCTATAAACCAAAACTAGGAGGAGGACAGAGGCGAAAACACAAAGCCGTATACTTCAACTAATATATTTAAAAAAAAAAAAACAAACAAACAAGCTTTGGCAATAATTAGGAACACTTAATCAAAAATCAACTTAAATAAAACCGATTACACTACATACTAAAATCTACTAAAATGTTTACTATAATGTCGACTGTCAAAATGGCGTCGATAAAGCAGCGCACTTATGACATTTTATTATTTGATTGACTAATGAAGAGCTACCGTATCACAGAGCCATCTATGCAACATGGTGGTAGTTTTAGAGTTATAAGAAAGTACCCTCACGTACTATAGTGGTAAGTGTTGGTGAAGCTATAGATGGTAAATCGCATTTAGCTTCAATCTTGCTTTGATAACGCCCAGATTGTATTCGGGCGGAAATGCAAACGCTACCAAATTATTCCACTCGTTTGCTATACTAATTACGAAAGAAAAGCAAAATTCAGTGACAACTGGTAAGCGTATGATTATTCGCCGTCTTTCCTCTTTAATTAACTAGATAGGTATGTAGCCGTGGAAGGAAAAAGGGAGATTCCCCCAGTCAAGGTGCCAAAAGAGTGGCCAACGCTCCGAATGGTA